CATAATGTGATGCAGTTCTTTCTTTCAAAGTTAAATCAGCAGATAACCACAGGCATGGACGTCTGATCATGATAGTGCACAGCTCAGATTCCTGCACTCCTCTGGATCTCATAAGGGTTCTGGAGATCATGGCACGATGTTAGAAAGCATTCAATTATTTGTCTGTGAATGTCGCCACAGTAGATTGTAGGTAGGTGTGGGCGATATAGCAAATATATTATATCGCAATTTTTTTTTTTATATCACGAATCTTTGTCATGTTGGTATTACTATTTTGCAAGTTGTCTGAGCATTACAGCCAAACTAATTTCCCTATTATAAAGACAAAGCCTTTCAAGGTACCAAAATGTCAAGGTAAAAAAATAATGGCAAATTTTTTGGCTAAGGTGGGCCAAGATGAAAATCTTTCATTATTTTATCTGTATTAAAGTTCTTCAGTCAAGAGTAGTGAGTGATTTTTCTCTTTGTGTTTTGTTGTTTTATTAATAAAGGGATAGTTCACCCATCGTCAGTTCTGTCATAGTGTTTTATTTTGATACCATAATTTACTCGCTCAAAAGTTGTTTTAAACCTGAATGAGTCCTGCTGAACATAAATGTTATTTTGAAGAACGTGAAAAAAAAGAGTTGCTGGTCCACAGTGACTTATATAGTATTTTTCCTACTATCAAATTTAATGGAGACCAGCAACTGTTTGGTTACCCACGTTTTTCAAAATATCTTATTTTGTGTTCAGCACAATACAGAAATAAATACAGTTTTGGCACAACATGTTAGTGAGTAAATAACGACAGAAATGACATTTTAGGGTGAACCATCCCTTTAATGACAGTCGACAGCATGTTTAGTACTGTCCCTTTAAGACCTGCACGTATCCGACTTTCTCTTTCGACTTTCACTAACCAACTTAGTCTATGTGTAAACATTGTGTGTTTTGTTTTGACAGTATTAGTAATTTAGTCCAGTAATCAACAGTGTGTGAATTAAATGTTTAACGGCTCTAAAACAGATGCAAATAATGTTCTTTTGTGACTGCGAATAAGTGCAGTGTCCTATAAGAGTAACTCTACCGCTGAATTAACACTGATGTGAATGTATGTCGCATTGTACAGTATCTACTATCAAATTTAATGGAGACCAGCAACTGTTTGGTTACCCACGTTTTTCAAAATATCTTATTTTGTGTTCAGCACAATACAGAAATAAATACAGTTTTGGCACAACATGTGAGTGAGTAAATAACGACAGAAATGTCATTTTAGGGTGAACCATCCCTTTAATGACAGTCGACAGCATGTTTAGTACTGTCCCTTTAAGACCTGCACGTATCCGACTTTCTCTTTCGACTTTCACTAACCAACTTAGTCTGTGTGTAAACATTGTGTGTTTTGTTTTGACAGTATTAGTAATTTAGTCTAGTAATCAACAGTGTGTGAATTAAATGTTTAACGGCTCTAAAACAGATGCAAATAATGTTCTTTTGTGACTGCGAATAAGTGCAGTGTCCTATAAGAGTAACTCTACCGCTGAATTAACACTGATGTGAATGTATGTCGCATTGTACAGTATCTTGAGACGGAGGCGCCAGAACTGCAGCTGACAGAATGCACTGTAGCACGATACTACGATATTTCTTTAAAAGCTGATCGTGGAGACATTTTTATCATCCACGATCAAAAATCGTCATATCGCACACCCCTAATCGTAGGGGTGTAATCAAGCGGCAACCTTCCGGTCTCTCTCGTGAAACCGACACGGAAGTGACTAAAACTGCAATTCACCGACTGGCTCCAAAAGGGAGTAAGTCCCATAGACTCCCCATGTTAAAATGGCCAATTTTACAGCAGAAAAAAATGTTTACAGCCTGGTACAAAAAGTGGCTTTGGTGGCTTTGTATGAAATAAACACAACATTTCTTCTTCTTTTTATTTTTCATTAAAGGTGCTGTATGTAGGCAAATGTTTTGACTGTACTAAAGCATAAAAATACCATAATATGTTAGTAGATATTTAGGAAACATGTACTGCTGACGCCACCGTCGAGCTGGGTGGGCATCGTTTCAGCAACCAGCTCCCACCTCTTTGCCAATTTTCGATTATCCGGGAGTGACGCACTGCCAAGATGACGACGGCCGGCTCCGCCAACTTTGAGTTTCAAAAAAGCTCTTCAGAAACCTACGGGTGATGTCACGGACACTACGTCCATATTTTTATACAGTCTATGGGTGTAATGGTACACAAAAATGACGGTTCGGTACATACCTCGGTTTTGAAGTTACAGTTTGGTACATTTTTGGTACGGGGGGGGGGAATAAACACAACATTTCTTCTTCTTTTTATTTTTCATTAAAGGTGCTGTATGTAGGCAAATTTTTTGACTGTACTAAAGCATAAAAATACCATAATATGTTAGTAGATATTTAGGAAACATGTTCACATACCTGTTTCTCCAAAAACAACGCTAAAGCCCATTATTATTATATGAAATGGGCATTCTGTGTTGGAATGTCTATTTTTTGTTTTTCTCTGCATGGTTCCAGCCACTGCCAGTTTACCCAATAAGATTTCAACACCCGGGTTGCCAGTTGGCGTAAAATACAGCGTATTTCTGCCATTGAAGCCAGCAAACGAACTGGGTCAGAGATCGCAGATTCTAAACCACCTAAAAAGCCTCATCCTCCATCTAAATGACCAGAGACATATTAAACATGGATAAAACACATAACATGGTTCAATTCATATTTCTCCAATCAAAGTTTTAGAGTTAACATTGGTGAATACTCATCTGAGGTAGCTTCTTTGTCGTGTGGTGTTCCCCAGGGTGCCATTCTAGCTCCTATTCATTTTTCATTGTATATGCTCCCATTGGGTTATATTTTTAGGAAGCATGGTCTTTCATTCCATTGCTATGGAGCTGCAAGGCTTTTAACATGTACCAAAAAAAACGGGATCATATTACGCCGGTTTTACGTTCTCTACACTGGTTGCCTGTGTGCTATCAAGTTAATTTTAAAATTCTTCTCTTAGTGTTTAAATCATTAAACGGTTTGGCCCCTACTTATCTTTTAGATTTATTGACTGAACATCGGCCCCTCTTGTCTCTCCGGTCGTCCAACCAGAGATTATTATGCATCCCAATGTCGAAGCTGAAATGCAGGGGTGACTGCGCATTCTCAGTAGCTGCCCCAAGATTGTGGATTGTTCTGCCCCTCTGTATTAGATCTGCACCTTCACTATCTGTTTTTAAATCCATGTTGAAAAATTACCTTTTTGATTTGGCGTTTTATAAATGAGAATGTTCTACTGTATGGTTTCTTTTATATTAATTATTTTGTATTGTCTTATTGAAATGGTTTATTGTGCAGCACATTGGCCAACCCATGGTTGTGTTTAATAGTGCTATATAAATATAATTGACATTGACAAAACCAATCATCACTTTACACTGCAAGGATCGTTGTCTAACATTGTCAGTTGCACTCGTTTATTGTCAAATCTGGCAACCCGCGTGAATGTCGAGTCTGATGTGCAGGAAAAACAACGCTCTCCAATATTTTTCCAATATTTCTCGGCCAGATATTGTGCTAATGTCTCCAAGATGCTTCAAGAGACCTACCTGCAAAGCTACCTGAAAAACTATGTGCAAGTGCACCTAGGGCAAAAGCTGCTAAACGTAAAGGATGGTCACACCAAAAATTGATTTAATTTAGTTAATAGAAGGTAATTGATAAAGAAAATCTGTTTGACGACATTTTTGAAAACATTCTCATTTTACCGCATTTTTACACAAGTACCTAAAACTTTTACAGTACTGTTATTTTTTCAGGTAGGTTTCTTGAAGCATCTTGGAGACATCTTGTCACAGTTTGTTCTGTTTCTTCATGTCTTTCCAGACAGACTGGATGATGATGAGATCAGATCTCTGTGTATAGCACTGGCTGTTGTCAGACAAAAATCTCAACAATTAATGGCAAAATTAATGTTTGGAAATGTAAACTGATATTTCCTACTGACACACTATAGCAAAAGATAGAAATAACTAACTTAAAACTATTTTTTAGCTGGTAAAAATAGTAGTGTTCTAGTAATTTTGGCCACCACTGTATATATATATTACACACAGTAAAAGAGTAAAAATGTTATAGCCTATAGGAAGGGGTCAGAGGGTCCATTCGTAAAGAACTCAGGCCTGCACTATAATTTGTGCCTGACACTCTTCAGTTTCTTTTTGGAGATTGACACTAAAAATCCCTCTGAAGTGATTTGTCAAGGACCTGTTCAAAAATTACACCACCTCCAGACACCAGGGTGGCAAGAAGATGAATCTAGTGCTATTTCATACTAAACTCCCTGTGATTTATGTTCACTCAGGAAGGAGCAATATAAGGGCGGAGGGAGACAGACACACACTTTTTAGTGTTTTGATCATTAGTATCTATGGGAAACATCACAACATATGCAGCACAGGAAAGGTTATGAATCATTTGAAATTCAATGCATTTATTCAGTTATTGCTTGCTTCCTCCATGCAATTTGTTTGGTAAAATGTTAAAAAATATCTGTTTTAAAAATGAACTCTTGACTAAGTCAAATAGTCACAGTGTAAAATTTTTTTAAAAACTGTAACAAATAAAGCTGAGACATAACTATGCACGCACTAAGTGTGTAACTTGCGTGACTCTTATGCATGTTTAAACAAAACATTAGCTCATTAAACTCCTTTTTAAACGTTTTGTGTTCAGTTTGTTCTATGCATCTGATCTCTGCATGTTAACCACATTCCTTACTTCAAGCTTACATGTTATAGACTAAGCCCCAAAGCAAAGGTGGTCATTAGACATATACTTTAAAGCAAGTGATGTTTAGTCAGGGCAGGAATGCTTCATTATAAGCCTTGTAAATCAAACCAGACTTTCTCCTCTTCAGCCTGAGGATGTAGTTTCTTGAGAAATACACAAAGCACTGAGGCTGATGTTAATTCTGTCTCCTTTATTCTTAACAGAGGTGAAAGTCTGTCGAGATGTTCTCAGTGTAAGACGGCCCGGTACTGCAGTGCTCAGTGTCAGGTAAGAGCTCTTCACACAAGCTGTCATCAGAGAGCTTTACAGACAAGCTTATGATGAAGTCTTATTTCAGTGGAAAGATTACATTCAGTTTTTCCACATAAGGTTTTGCACCTAGTGCTTTTGACAAATGCTTAAAATGATATACACTCGCATGAGATGAATATTCCAGTCAAATCAGCAACCTAGATAAAGCTATTTTTATTTTTTATTATTTTATTTTATTTGAATGTTTTGTCTGTGCTTCAGGCCTTGCAATGTAAAAGCAGCCTAATAGAGCTGTTTATAATATTAAATAATCAATGTTCATGGCAGAGAAAACTACTTATTCTTATTTAGTTTTTCATTGCTGACTGTTTACTAGAATAATTACTTGGAAAAAACTTATGCATTGTTCACTTAAATGAAAAAAAAAAATGTATTTGACGAGCTACATACCATTGATTTTTTTAGTATCTATTTTAAAGGGGTCCTATTATGCTTTTTCAACTTTAGCAAGTCTGTAATGTTGCTGTTTGAGCATAAAAAATATCTGCAAAGTTCAAAGTCCACTTCAAGGAAATTAATTTGATTTTGACTCAACATTTACACTGAAGCTCGCAGGCGGCTTTGTTAAGGGGCATGACATTTCCCGACCAGGCGCCGAGTGGAGCCAATCACAGCACACACTGGCCCAGCTAACCAATCACAGCACATTTTGTATTTCAGAAGGCGGGCCTTTATTTGATACAGGAACTATTCGAGCCGTTCATGCCAGACTGGGGAGAGAGGTGTTGTAATAATGTAAAATATGTGAAAAAAAATGTGTTTTTCGAACAGCCTAGTATGAGAGCCTGTTCTAGTACACCAAGAGAGCATAATAAGACCCCTTTAATATTTCACTTTTTTGAATAGATTGCATTCAATAGCACATTCATGTAATAGAGCAATAATGTGGTATAGAAACTGTTCAAAAATCATGATTTCTCACATAAAACATGAAGAAATTTTTGCATTTAAAATACATAATATTAAACAAAAACATCTTAAATCAGTGACACTCTTTATTGCATTAAGTTTATTGTATTTATTGTGCTATTAATATCAAATATTTTTGCAGGTTTCTGTGGCAGAATGGAAAATTATATTGTGAAATTCAGATATTTAAATGTCATGCCTGTGTCCTGTGGAATTTAATACAGTCATTTTGCTTTATGTGACTTTCACGGTCTATCACAACTCTGTATAATGTCATTAAAATTCTCCAGTTATTTTAATTTTTTTTGAGCCAGCAGTTATCGGAAAACTCCTGCATGAGTTCCAGTGTGACTTTCCGTCAGAAGTATTTGATGCTTGGAGCCATACACCTGTGAAACACGTTCACGTTTACAGGATTTTTCTGTATTATGGTCTTTTAACCCTGTAAAGCCTGACATGTGAAATATCGAAGAGAAAACATATGAGCAAAAATGGTGCAGTTGCTGATAGCTGTGATGTAAACCAGTGAGATTTTTGTAACACTCTAAAAGACTACTTGCATAAAATGCATATAAGTATCAGTTGTCACTCTATATCTTCCAGTAATTTGTTTTAATAATATGATATGTACTGTAAATGCTTAATTGAAGCTATAGGTCCCTATCATACACCCGGCGCAAGTGTTTTTGCTAGTTTCAGCAAATGCATTTGCGCCCATTTGTGCGCCCATGGGCGTGCTGGTCTGAAAACGAGGTGTGTTCAGGCGCATTGCTGGCACGTTGCTATTTTGAGGCAACTGAAATAGACTGCGCCATCACCATTGACCAACAAAAAACCTGGTCTAAAGTCTGCCGCAATATTTTTTCTTTGTTATTTAAAGAGCACGTTAGTAATATAGGCAGGTACACAACGCGCGTACACTTTGCTTATTACACACACAGGGACGCACAGCGGCACACATTTTAAAAATGAAAAATTACATTTCGCCATGTAAATAGTGAACCCGACATGGCACGAGCGCAACTGTAGTTCTCAGATCTCATTGCTCAAAATCTGGATTTTCAGTCAATAACTTATTAAAGGGGTCATATGATGTTGCTAAAAAGAACATTATGTTGTGTATTTGGTGTAATGCAATTTGTTTATGCGGTTTTTTTCACATACTGTACACTATTGTTTCTCCTCTATGCCCCTCCTTTCTGAAACGCGTCGATTTTTACAAAGCTCATCGTTCTGAAAAGCAAGGTGTGCTCTGATTGGCCAGCTATCCAGTGCGTTGTGCTTGGCTGAATACCTCAAGCGTGTAAAGGAAATGTTACGCCCCTTACCATACTGTGATGCCATCTCCCGGCGCGATGAGACAACACCAATAAAACCCATTACAAACGAGGCATTTGTTGCATCCAGTGGGGACGTAATTACTGATTATAATGACTTATACTGTCTTTTTACGCGTTGCGTTGCGTATCGCGCAGCGTCACACACGGAGGCCTTGAGTGAGCGGCGGCCGGCGGGCTTGCGGCAACCACATGTGACGACCCCGGGCTGGACTCTGCTTCGTCCACGGTGAAAGCCGATCCGGCAATCCACAGCGCGAAGTTGATGTATTTCCTCAGCGACCAGTACGAATCAGCTCTAGGCATGACGAAGCGGATATCGTCCTCTTTTGGAAGACCAAACAAAGTAGTTTCGCTTTCACAACGAAACCCACAGCGTCTCCACGACATGGCGTCGGCGGCAACAAAAATACTACAGTGAGAATAAAAGTTATGCCTTCTTTCTTTGCGTGAACATTTGGACGGTGTTATGCAAATCTTCCCACACAGTGATGTAGACATGTGGGGGCGTGTTTAAACAAGACGTTTTAGGAGGGCGTGCCACGACATGGCGTCGGCGGCAACAAAAATGCTACAGTGAGAATAAAAGTTACGCCTTCTTTCTTTGCGTGAACATTTGGACGGTGTTATGCAAATCTTCCCACACAGTGATGTAGACATGTGGGGGCGTGTTTAAACAAGACGTTTTAGGAGGGCGTGGACAAGTCTTAACTATTATAAAGAATATCTCTTTGGGATTGAGATAGGGCTGTGCAATTAATCACATGCGATTGTCATGCACATCTCGTCAGTAAAACCGGTTCCGTGATTGGTAGTAAATCGCCATCACCTGCTTTCAGATGGAGCGGCATTTACTACACAGAGCCGTAGTTCACTGACAAACTAGTCAATATCACCTTCATAATCGAATGCGATTCATCTGTGATTATGAACGCGATATTGCCTAATTGTCAGTGAACTACATCTCTGTGTAGTAAATGCCGCTCCATCTGAAAGCAGGTGATGGAGATTTACTACTAATCACGGAACCGGCTTTACTGACTAGATGCGAATGACAATCACATGCGATTAATTGCACAGCCCTAGTTTGAGACTTTAGTCTCTGCAACTTTAGGGATCTTATCTATTCACGAACAGCTTGTAACACTCCAAAGAGAAAGGAAAATGTGAAATTGCATCATATGACCCCTTTAAATATTGTTCTGTTCCTCACACAAAGCTATCGTAAAACTTCAGAAGAGTTATAATGGCTACTTCTAGGACTTTGTCCTTCCTTATTTACTTCTATGCTGTTTTAAAGAACAGTTTTAAAGAACAGCATGAGCGTTCTGCTAACCACAGAAGAAAGAAAGTCATGCAGGTTTGAAAATGACGTGAGGTATAAATCATGACAGAATTCATTTTTGGAGTGAAATATCTCTAATGTGTCTTTCACATGCTCTGCAGAAGTCTTTGCAGTTCATGAATATCCAATCTTTCAAAACTAGACATCACGCTGTTTTAAAATAGCAAAGCTGTCACTGTCAAACCAGCGCCGTTCTCTTCAGGCACTCATTGTTGTCAAGTTTGTCTTTGTCTTTCTGTAATTGTAGGGCGGCCTTTCATCATAATTCCCTCTAAAGGGAGACCACACAGAAATCACGTTCTGATTGAAGATGTGTAAACATCATCATATTTATTTATTTGTGAAATCTCTTCTATTTATTCTCTGCTTTATCCTCATCTTCACCCTTCAGAAGCAAGCATGGCCCGATCATAAGAGGGAATGCAAATGCCTCAAGCGCCTCCAGCCACGGATCCCCACCGACTCCGTCCGCCTGGTGGCGAGGATCATTTTCAAACTGGTATGTGACATCAGAGCACCTGCCGTATCGGGACCACTTCAGACCCATTCAAAGAGTGTTTTGCATTTAAAACTGCCACAGGGCTTGAGATTGTTACATCCATTCTGTCTCTTTCCAGCTCAGCCAGTCAGAAAGTGACCAAGAGGAGCTGTACTCGATAGTCGAGCACCAGTCACGTAAGTGTGTGTTTAATTGTATTGCATTGTACTGACACAAAGCAAGTGGATGTTGCTATATTGTGTTTTTTAGCACAACTGCAACACTGTGTCGACCAATCAGCATCCAGGACTGGATTTTATAAATTCATGTCAATCGATCAGATCAGATCAGAACATTTTATGATGAATATGCACTAATCAGGAATGACACAAATTCTGAAAACATTTTATTAAATAAAAAAAAAAGGGTTTTAATCAAGTAAATCCAAATCTAGTTTGAAGTTTTTTTTTTTTTTTTTAGAAAATAGGTCTTAAACTAATTTTAAACCGTTAGTTTTAATTTTGAATTACTAAACCTAGCTCTTGTCATGAGCATAACCATTGAAGCTGACATGGTGTTAAAAAGGGGGGGGGGGATTATCTTAAACCAGCTAAAACTAGCTTAGACCATCTAAGACCAGCAAACCAGCTTAGATTGGTTTGAGGAGAGTTTTTCTTCTTGCCTTTTTTTTTGTTTTTTTTAATTTTTTTTTATTGATGTGTTGTGTACTAACCTATAAGCTATAAGGTGTTAAATAAAACCCAATACAATCTTTCAAAAAAGAAACCTGAGCCAAATTTAATTAATTTAATCCAGTAATCAGGCATCACTCCTGACTTTCATGTGTATATATTGCCAATATTATGTAATGAAAATGAATTTCTGGTCTTCACTGGTAATTTCAAATACCTGTAATTCAATATTGCCATGAAATTATAAGGATGTATGCCAATATTGTACAAAAATACACTTTTGATTGCCTTTCAGATTTCACAGAAATGGACAATGTCCATCGTCATACCAAAAAAATTTTTTTGCTTTATAAAAAGTTATATACAGAATAAAAGGCTGTGTTGTTAATGGACAGCAGTAAAAATCACTAACTTATCCTGTGAGGTTGAAAAATTAGATTTCCTATGATGGAAGGTGAATAAATGTTTATTGTACCATTATGAATTTTCCTCTCTTTCTTGGTGCGGACCCTCTGTGAAACCTGCCCCGCAGCCCCCGGCTTTTCAAAAGTAATTGGCTATTTTGTCACAAAGAGCCTTGGACTTCTCTTTGGCCTGACTCTTTTCTATTCAGTCATAAGTAATGTGCAGCCATTAGAGAGGAAATCCAGCTGATGGTCCTTAAGGAAGCAGCCAGCGCCCCTTCTGAACTTGTGCTTTCTCATCACACTAACGGCCTTATGAGACGCCACTCGCTCTCACCTCAAAATCAAGGTCTCATCGGCTCATGTATTATTTCAGGAAATCCATCCTCATTTTTATGTCTAGATTCATATGTAGACCAGTTCCTTTAGACAAACAGAAGAGCGTTTCACATAAGAGTGATTCAGCTGGTGGTCAAATGATGGGTTTTTCAGTGGCTGATATAGAATCAAATCCTTTTATACTGTATATATTACAGTTTAATGGTAGCAAATGAAATGTGCAAAATTGCAGAAATTAAAGGGGTCATATGATGCTTTTTTAAAGATCATTATTTTGTGTATTTGGTGTAACGGAATATGAATAGAGATTTCAAAAGGACAGTAAAATGTCTTTACAGTAATCTTTACAGTCACTTTTGAGCATCCTTGATGGATAAAAGTATTAATTTCATAGGGGGGAAAAACCCTTAAATTTGTTAAGTTTTTTTTTTTTAAACTGACCTTAAACATTTGAGTGGAAGTGCTGAATTGAATAAAAAAATACAAATATATCCACCTCAAGTGTGCATATGTAGTTTTATGCTCTTTTTGGAAATGCTATTTGCCTATTGTTTTTCCATTCAGCATTTTTATCTGATATGCCAAAATATGCAGAAAAATGCACGCATGGCAAAACATCTCAATGCTGCATTTTTTAATTAAAAGCAAGTGCAAATCAGATATGAGACCTATTTCAAAGGCAAACATTTTTATAACTCCTTTACAATTAATCACATAAAGCATCATATGTATGTATGTACTGCACAAATCGTATTAAACATTTTTATGGTGCTTTTGTAGTGTATTCTTGGAGCTCTACAGCCATTCCCCATTCATATATTTATTGTATGGAAAAAAAGCAGATTATATATTGAAAAATATCTTCTTTTTTGTTCCACAGAAGGGTTTGGAACAACATAAAGATGTGTAATTGGTCACAAAATCTTTATTTTGGGTTGAACTATCCCTTTAAGGAGACCAACCCCTGCTTAAGGCTCATAATTCCACACACGTTCAACCTCTCATGCTCTTGAGAAGTGGGAAGTCTGTAGCTCCGTCTGCCATCCAGCCTGTTATTTTCTTCTCTGGAGAGGTTTCAGACCCCATTGGCGCTCATTTACTGCCTGCTACTTTTAATACAATTTTTGTAATTGACAATCTATCTATAATCTTTGAAAATGAATCGTGATTATACAAAGAACAGATTTGAATCATTTCAGTTTGTCAAACAAGCCTAAGCACTGTAATTTTGTTCCGTTTTGTAGAGATAGAAGATAAAAGATACTACACGTGGTGAAGGCGTTCCAGATTTATGTATTGAATCTGCAGAGTTTTACTACTGTGTGTGTGTGTGTGTGTGTGTGTGTGTGTGTGTGTGTGTGTGTGAGAGAGCGAGAGATACGAGACGTGAGCTGTAGCCGTGGGTCAAGCATTTGCTCTATCTGCCGCAGCAGCAGTGAACACACTGAACTGCATTGATGGTGCGCTTGGAGGAAATGAATCAGAGCAGGAGGGTTAATGAAAAAGCCCATATGTTTGGCAAAGCTGACATAAATCACACATTCTTCCAAATACACACTCTCATGCTACAGTCAGACCGCTTTCTTTCCAAATACACACTAATCGGACATCCATTTTACTGGTGCAGCCAGAAAGACAAGTAAAAATGCTTTTTGATTCATCTTCATTGGCTAAACACACACTAACAGGTGAAAACACACACACAAAAGCCTTTTATCCTCCTCTGGTTTCTTATTGTGCATTTCGGCTCTTTTGTGCTTCATCCTCGTTGATCATCATTAGTCTTTTTCACAGCTTGTGTTGGTTCAGCTCATTGTTGTTTACATCTGCATGGTCATGTGTACTTTTATGTGACATAGTATGTGAACTTTTTTCAGGTAAATTAGGTTTAATTCTGTTTTTTGTTTTTCTAGTCTTGACGTTATTTATTACTGCATCCAGTGTAATTTATGAACCGCTACATTGATACATAACCTTAAAATACCCAAGTTTTGTAGGTGGAACTTTGGGTGCAGAAAATACAGACATAGTGCAGACATACATATAATTTAAGGTAATAAAATGAAATAAAACAGTAATAATAAAGAGAATAGACACACGCACACACACACAAAAACAATATGGTAATAAAATATGGAGAAACAAATCCATTATAAATGTTCCATTATAGTTTTACATAAAATGTTCCATTATAGAATTAGCTTTTTTTTTTAATTTATTTTTTTTACTCTTTGAGTTTTCATTAAAATTTTAGTTTAAATTTTCATACTTGTATGAGTTTTTTTTTAAATATTTCTATTTAGCTTCAAATTTATTTCAGTTTTAGCAATTTTACTACTTAAGCTTGAACTGCTTTATTTCAGCTTTATTTCAGTAATGAAAATGATTTTTAATAGTTTGATTTAATTAACAATGACAACACTGATTTCAACATCTTTTTGGACATTTACCATGTTAATACAGTGTTTTGTAGAAATGTACCATGGCAGTACCATGTTTTTGAACATTTACAAAAATAATACCATGTTTTTGAACGTGATATTACCATGTTTTTTTATTTTTTATTTTTTGACAGTTTTTAGAAATACTGTATACTGTATCACTATGATTTTAGTCAGGTACACTATACTCTAAAAAATGCTGGGTTAAATACAACCAAGTGCTGAGTAAAATATGGACAAACCCAGCGATTGGGTTGTTTTGTATTTAACCCAGCATTTTTTAGTGTACCATGGTAATACCTTGTTTTTTTAGTTATCACAGTAATAGCCCTGTTTTTGGACATTTACCTTGTTAATACTATGTTTTATATATATATATGTACCATGGTAAAATTATTTTCCACATACTGTACATTATTGTTTCTCCTCTATACCCCGCCTTTCTGAAACGTGTAGATTTTTACAAAGCTCATCGGTCTGAAAAGTGAGGTGTGCTGTGATTGGCCAGCTATCCAGTGTGTTGTGATTGGCCGAATACCTTAAGCGTGTGACGGAAATGTTACGCCCCTTGCCATATTGTGATGCCTTGTCCCGGCCGGAGCGACGAGACAAAAACATGAAAACCCATTATAAACGAGGCATTTGTTGCATCCAGCGGGGACATAATTACGGATTATAATGACTTATACTGTCTTTTTATGCGTTGCATTGCATCGCACCGCGTAAACTTAAAATCATGTCTGGATTTGTGATCGGAGAAATGACAAACTATAAATGCTACTCTACATTGCTCAAAACTTGCGTTTGAATCGTCAGTGGCAAATCCTTTAAATATAAAAAAATTTACTTACAAGTAAAGTAAGTCTTTGAGTCAGAACAGCCGGCATTGTAGTCTACTCTCCCAGGATCAGGAAACAGTCCTCCATAAAATGTAATGGATTGAGTTGTGACATTTTCTGTCAGACGTATAGGGGTAAAGAAACATCAGTATGGATGTGATGGAGAGGAAGTGCACCAGGCATATAAATCGTGAATCTCTCTCTTATTCAGTAATCATCATTCTCAGCATCTCTGCTCTAGATTATGTCATGCAGACCTGCGGGCGGCAGCAGGCTGATACGGGTCTGACTCAGATACATGACCTGAACCGACTGCTCCACATAACACACCTCAAGGAAACACCACAGTCAGTTAGCTAAAGATGTCATTGAATGTCTGCAAAACGTTACTGTTTGATTAGAACTGTCTTATATATACTGTGTGTGTGTGTATATATATATATATATATATATATATATATATATATATATAAAAAGTAGTTTGAAAAAAAGAAAACATTTCTAAATAGTAGTAGTAATAATAATTATTAATAATAATAATTATTATTATTATATGATTTAAAGTTGGTTTTAAATAATGACATGGATGCATTTAATTAAATTAAATTAAATTAAATTAAATTTAATTTAATTCCATCGTCCATCGCCGATGGCTGACAGACATCACGATGTTAAGCTGAAATCATTCGCCATCGTCCTATCAGACATTTCTCCTTACTCTGTATATGTGGTAAGTGCCCGCCCCGCCGCCGATGTCATCGTTTATCACGATGTTTCACTGTAGACATCATCCGATGGCAATTTGGTAGACATCGCCCAACCCTAGTTTACACACATTACCTACTTTTACGATGGATCTTTTTTTTTTTTTTTTATCTGAGGAGGAAACTTGGCTTTTGTCTTTACTTTTTCTCTCTCACACACTCTTTCATTCTTCTACGCTTCATTAATATGATGCAGTTAACTCCTGGATGAATATTTCTTTTTAGGTGTGGGTGGAATACAAATGTGCAAACACTGGAAGAAGTGTGCTGGTTTTGACCCTGACTGCTGATAAATCTCCCTGTTCTGCATTAACTCAGCTCGTGAGAGTCGGCTCTTGGCCCGGCGCTTCGTCTTTAGCATTACAAACATGTTCAGCCGCGTTAAACCAACACCCTGCCCATCGCCGAATCAATTAACCAGCGTGAAAACAAACAGCCTTGGTCCAAAAATGATTTCCATTTCAAATCAGACCGATATTCTGTGCCATTTGCTGAAACTAATTGCTGAAACTAATTCTCTTATAATATTCAGAATATATCCCTTACATGCAGTGGAAGTTCCTCAAGGGAATTTGAGATGTTTGTTGGGAGTGTAATTTATTTATTTATTCATATTAAGCAGGAATTACCCAAGAACTAGAGTAGGTAAGAGGGAAAATCTCCAATTACAGTAATCAAACTGAGTGAGGGACGTGTCGGAACATGTGAATTTAGATTAAAATCCAGATCCAGAGGGACGTTCATTCATGCCATTCACATTCCAGAACTGAAGCGATGGTGAATCTGCCGCTTTAATTAAAGTTGCAGAGAATGCTAGTGTTATTGTCCAGGACTTTAGTGAATACAGTTATTTGTTTCTGTTCATTTTTGCATATGTGTTATGAACTCAAAAGAGAGTCTTTTAAAGTCAGACTGAACAGTTCTGGTTAACTGAGCTGATGAGTTTTAAATATTCCTTAAGAATATGATTTGTGTCACAGCAATCTGTTAACGGCTTTGTAATGAGAACTAACTACCATCCTATTTATTGCCATTTTGTTGTCTTGTTATTGATGCTTGCTCATTAGGGTTAGGGATTTGAACAAAACCATAACTATTAAACTTTGGCGTGTAGTTTTTACATGTTAAATTTTCAAATTATAAATTTTACATGTTCAAATTAAGTTTTTTTTAAAGGTGTGTGTGTGCTATTACATAAAATATTCGTATTATTTAATAGTTTAATTTAAAATGGGTTTATAATAATGATAAATAATGAATAATGAAATTGGTTCTCTATATATTACTATATGATGTGTTGTGTTGTGTTATGTTAGATATTATTATTAAGTATTAAACTTTGCCATATAGCTTTTACATAAATAATATTTCAAATTGCGCAGTTTTTATAAAGGTGTGTTCTATTACAGTAAAAATATTGTTTGTAAATTAAAAATATTATTATTATTATTATTATTATTTTAATGTCAGACATCTAAAAATTGCATAATTTAATATGGGCTGCTTTGTAATACACTTTTTTTATACAATTGAGAGTATACATAATAAAGCTATTCTTTTTGCATTATTCATTTGTAAAAATGCTGTATAATAAGGTTTGGGAACCAATATTTGCCTATTTTACCAAATGGCTTAGTCTGTGTAGTATGACTCCCGAACAAATGACTGTGTCGTATGACCTCCGAATGAATGACTTGAGACAGTTCTTTTTAGTGAATCAAACACCTAACAAATGACTCTTATGAACCGGTTCTTTTTAGTGAATCAAAAGCACAATAAAATGTGTAGTCCGACTCCTTAACAAATTACTTTTATAAACTGGTTCTTTTTAGTTAATCAGAAACATACAGTAAATCTTGTAGTCCGACTCCAGAACAAATGACTCAAATGAACCGCTTCTTTTTAGATAATCAAAAACATACAGTAGGACACGTGTGTAGTCCGACTTCTGAACAAATGACTCTTATGAACCGGTTCTTTTTAGTGAATCAGAAACATACAGTAAAATGTTTAGTCCGACTCCTGAACAAATGACTCTTATAAACCAGTTCTTTTTGGCGAATCAAAAACGTATAGTGTGGCCAGAGTTGCCCAACTTCTGAATGGATTACTGAACCGGTTCTTTCGACTGATTCAAAAACATAGATCAAGACCAATTTAGTTTGATTCCAAAACAAATGTTTCTAAAGCTTTTCGTAAAAGAATTGGATCAGTGGAGCTACTGACTGGTTGTTGGGTTGTGCAAAACACAATGCCTTTCCTTTCCTTTCCTTTTTAGTAGGTCTTTGTCCTTCTCTCAAATTTAAAAATGAGTATTTAACACGAGACTTTGCTCATACTGGCTTAGATGAGATTTGGCCATTAAACTGGAATGAGTCATGCTTTATTCAACATCCTTCCCAGCAGCTCCAGGCCTCATGTCAGCAGATTTGCAAAAAATCTTCACCTTTTCCCCCCAGTTTCACCCCGAGAGTCATATATGGATTAAGAGCAAAGGAAAGATGATTTGTTAGATGACATCTCTCCTCTATCAGTGCTGTGCAGACGCTGTCATTGAACATATGTTTCAGTTCTGACATTAAAGGAGCAGAGGTCAGAGGTCACACTGACAGGGCTCTGGGTGGTCTGGCCCTGGCACTTAATAAGAGAAACCCATCGTTACTCCGTTCCTGTCATCTTCCACTGCTTTTTCGTAGCACCCACCAATGACCCAAGTAACCTCAGGGTAATGTCTGCATGTATGATTGTTCTCTGTCAGTCTGACTGTGGTTTCACTTCAGGCTCTTTAGCTTTAAGCTCCATTGTTGGACAAATGACTGAAGTCATGATGAAAATCCATCTGTCTCTCATTTAGTGTGCATCTGATAATTTTATTTCCTGTTAGATTAGTCTTGCAGAACTTAAAGACAAAAACCTGGAAACCTTTATTATTACATGATAGATGTGACATGTGGCCAAGTATGGTGACCCATACTCGGAATTAGTGCTCTGCATTTACCCATCCAAAGTGCACACACACAGCAGTGAACACACACACACCGTGAACACACACCCGGAGCAGTGGGCAGCCATTTATGCTGCGGCGCCCGGGGAGCAGTTGGGGGTTCGGTGCCTTGCTCAAGGGCACCTCAGTCGTGGTATTGAAGGTGGGAGAGAGCGCTGTACATTCACTCCCATTTAGTGTGCATCTGATAATTTTATTTCCTGTTAGATTAGTCTTGCAGAACTTAAAGACAAAAACCTGGAAACCTAGATAGATGTGACATGTGACATGTGACATGTGGCCAAGTATGGTGACCCATGCTCGGAATTAGTGCTCTGCATTTATCCAGTGGGCAGCCATTTATGCTGCGGCGCCCGGGGAGCAGTTGGGGGTTCGGTGCCTTGCTCAAGGGCACCTCAGTCGTGGTATTGAAGGTGGGAGAGAGCGCTGTACATTCACTCCCTCCACCTACAATCCCTGCCGGTACGAGACTCGAACCCACAGCTTTTGGGTTATGAGTCCGACGCTCTAACCATTAGGCCACGACTTCCCCTAGATGGTTTATATACAACACTGAGTCTGCAGACTGAGACTAAACCATGGGTATCCTGAAAGTTTAGTCATTATATTGCTGGGAACATTAAGGTTTCCATGGTCACCCAAAACTCACTTCCCCTATTGCTTTCTTAAAGGGGTCATATGATGCGATTTCAATTTTTCCTTTGTCTTTGGAGTGTTACAAGCTTTTGGTGCATAAAGAAGATCTGTAAAGTTGCAACGACTAAAGACTTGTCCATGCCCTCCTAAAACACCTCGTTTAAACGCAACGTGTAAAAACACAGTATAAGTGTCCCCACTGGATGCAACAAATGCCTTGTTTGTAATGGGTTTTATTGGTTTTGTCTCGTCGTGCCGGGAGACACAGCATCACAGTATGATAAGGGGCGTAACATTTCCGTCACACGCTTGAGGTATTTGGCCAATCACAAAGCACTGGATAGCTGGCCAATCAGAGCACACTTCGCTTTTCAGAACGATGAGCTTTGTAAAAATTGACGCGTTTCAGAAAGGAGGGGCATAGCAGAGCAACAATAATGTACAGTATGTGGAAAATAATGTGTTTTTAACCTTAAACCACATAAACGCATTGCATTACACCAAATACACAACATAATGTTCTTTTTAGCAACATCATATGACCCCTTTAATTGTTTTGCCATAGAATAAACCTTCAACAAGTCTTTTATACTTGGGAAGATACATTTCTTTAAAAATTAAAATTGGCACCTTAAGTTCAGCGAAGAATACATCCATCCATCCCTCAAAGTTTTTGAAAGAAATTAATACTTAGAAATTAGTATTCTGCAAGGATTCATTACATTGATCAAAAGTGATCTTGCAGAAGTTTTCCATTTCAAATTTTCAAAAAACGCTATCCTTTTGAACTTTATCCATCAAAGAATCTTGAAAAGGCCTTGATGAGCAGAAGACACTTAAAGATTTCAAGAACTTTTTAAATCTTCAATGACTCAGACAGTCAACTCAAAACTCCAAAAAAGAGAAACCTATAAAGAACAACAATGACAAGAAGAACCTGCAACCACACATAACTGACTTCTGATTCACATTGAAATCAACATTAAGACTGTGAATCTCACAGACTGCACCAACAGGGGGCAGCGTGCTCTTAAATATCTGTATCTTATATATACAGTTTGCACATAAACAATTGAATATACCATTTGTTTTCTATGTTGGAACTATGTTGGAACTGTTGGCCTTGAATGAATTTGTGTCCTCTGGCTATTGCTGGCACACTCAGGGTCCTGCTAGTAAAGCCTCCTTCTTTTGCATGTAAAGTGTACATGTTGGCATCTGCATGTGTTTAGTCTTAATATGCAAATTCTTTGCAAGTGTTTGTTAAGGAATTGTCCATTGGAGTGTAATTGTACGCGTTAATTGAGATTTTGTGTGTTTGTGGGAGCCACAAGGATAGTAAAACCTGAAATTAGCTTCATAGGGACCAGCCAACAGTCCCCATGAGGAAAACGGCTTAACAGACATACTAAATGATGCCTTAATGAAATGTACAAATGCTAAAAGGTTTGTGTTAAAGGAGTAGTTCATCCAAAAATGAAAATGTACTCACTCTCAGGCCATCCAAGAAGCAGATGAGTTTTGTTTCTTCATCAGAGATTTGGAGAAATTTAGCATTACATCACTTGCTCACCAATGGATTATTATTGAATGAGAGTCCAAACAGCTGATAAAAACATCACAATAATCCACATCACTCCAGTCCATGAAATAACATCTTGTGAAGTGAAAAGCAGTGTGAAACAAATCCATCATTAAAGCATTTTAATTTTAAAGCGTTTTATTTTTCTGGCCAAAATAGGAGTCCATCATCTGTATCCATGTCCTCCAGTAAAAAAAAAAAAAAGTTTATTCCCTGTTATCCTCTCACATAAAAATCCACTGACCTATTTGTTTAGAACTATTTTCACTTCTAAATGATGCTTGATCTGTGCATATTTCTCCCCTGATTCAGACAAAAATGACTTTTTTTTATGAGCATTAGCTCAAAATAAAACCATAGAAGTCAATGGAAGGTCCGCACATCATGACAGAAAAACAAACGTGTGCATGTGTGTGTTGGGCTTCGGTCTAGAGGAGGATGTGGGTTATTGGAAGGGGAGCCAGTAAAATGGCCCATTACTATTCTGAGCACTGTGTGCGTGTGCATCAGTGCCTTTCAAGGAGGCTGACACACGCCAGCATTTTACACATTTTAATATGGGATTTTCAAAATCACTCCAACTGTTCCTGATATTTAATCTCAGATTATGGTTAATGTATTGCAAATATTTACCATCAACAAATTGTGGCCAAGTGCATCAGTTTTAATTGCCATGCACATTGGTGGAATTTTGTTTACATATCACATTAACGAAAGGGCAAAGATCGACAATCATATCCAAAAGTATCTTTCTTTAATGTACTCTTAAGTCAGTCTGCGTTACATTTACAGCTTTCTTTTCTGCCCTATACTCAATCAGCTGCTGTATCCTGCTGATATGGAGCAATAAGCAGCAGTTATAGAGCTATGACAGAGTATGATTGTGTCCTCCTGCAGCAGACACACTCTACAGGCTCTACAGCTGCATCACCTCTCTGAAACGCCCACTCTATTCCTCATCCTGACCGGACCGTAAACCCTGCAATACACACCACAGAGGCATTGTGCTGCATCTCCAACAATCACCTCCTTCCCACTGCAGGGAAAGATAGAAATGGAGAGAGACAAACATTCATTCACGTGCAAGACAGGCTTCCGAGATTCTTGGGATTGCTGCACAAGCCTTAAAGGCAACATGAATTCAGAGTTTACTTTCCGAATAAATGTACCGGGTCTTCTTGTGCATTAATTTTTGTTGCTATGGCTAGCTTACCTTGCCATATAAATGCCTGGTGTTTTTTAGATATATATGTCAGCCTTATTTATTGGGGACAATATTTCGAGATTATTCAATTTGCCAGATTAACTTCAAGTAGTAGTTGGACTTGCATGTAACTCATATCATTTTGCAGTGCATTTTTAATCAACTATTATAGAAAATAAAAAAGTAAATATAGCATACATCTTATCTACTACTAGATACTACTATTATTATTAAATTGTAGGCTATTTAGTGTATCTTCCACCCTGCTGTCTAGATATTAGCATTGGCTTGAAAACACATGGAGATTTGTCATATTATGGCAGTTAAATGGTTGCTAAATTCTATTTCATGTCTTTAAAGTCCTTTTCTTCCTTTTTTTTTTTCAACTTGTGTGTTCACTGAATGACAAAGTCAGTGGATGTTTAGGGCGAGATTTAAATTAGCCGTCAAAATTTTAGTCCCAATGTAGAGTTTTTTTTGTAACTCTTTACAATAGAATTCTATTTATAAACATTAGTTGATTTAGGTAATTAATGCAATAACATAGAACAGTAAAATTTGGTAAACAATTGTTCAAAGTTCTGCATGTACTAATAAATGTTTAGAATTGAAAGTATTAATAAACATTTTGAATGGACATAAAATAATAACAGTGAACAATATATTTACACAAACATTCAAAAGTGTGGGGTCAGTATTTTTTTTCTTTTGCTCGCCAAGGTGGCATTTATTTGATCAAAAATATAATGTTACCCATGTTTGACTATCATAGATGGATGATGTTTTGTTCTGTTCTGTTCACCTATCTTTGCTGTAGGACAGCAGTTTCGTCCCTGAGAGCACATGGAGAGTATTGATGAATGTGTGCCATGTGCTGCTCAAAGCAAAGCAAACACTAATGGATGAGCTGTCCAATCTGCTGTACTAGAATGTCACTCTAAGGTGACTGGTGGTTCCTGCGTGGTCTTCAGGGCATACTCTCTCAATCTGTTCAACATCTGAACACCACTATGAGTTTTGGGACTACTGCACTAGACTTGCATTGGTCCACCAATTTACCTTGATACTTTCCTCAAAGTTGAGCTTTTTTGTGTCACAGGCGATTGAAAGTCATATGGGTTTGTAATAGGGCTGTGCGATATGGACAAAAAAAAGAAAACCAATTAGAGCTTTATCAAAAGCTGTCTCTATGCTTTGCCTTATGTCTCTAGAACAGACATAAGGCAAAATAATCACTAAGTAAAAGTGTAACAAAATGTCTCTAGAATAGACATATGGCAGAAAGAAAAAAAATCCCGTGCATTGGTCATAGAGCTCTTTGTGGCGTTGCCTCAGATGTTGAACTTGATTTGTTGCAAGTTCACACGTACTCCGTCTGCAGTGCGTATACAGTAAGTGTATGCGGTGCAGAAGCAGCACAGACTCATTTTGCTTTCGCACAGGACGCGTTTGCACCATGTGTGCCATCTATTATTGCCTTATTTATCTAAAAGTGCACTTTTCCTTGTTTTAAATCTAGCCAAAAAGCCATGTGTACAGTAGACTTTAATTATATGCATTTATGGTGTAATTACTAAATTTCCATGTCAATCCATGTAAATTTTTACCGCGAATAATGCGCTGTCACTTTAATTCAGTGCATGCAGCACAGCAGGAATAGACTCCGTGCCCGCCCGGTCTGTTCTGTTCTCGTGCTCCATTTAGGCGCGCTGCATTCTGATTGGTTCGGATAGCATACTGCGGGAGGTCGGGGGTGCGGAAAATCGTGCCGTAAAGCGATTTAGAAATCACGCGAGCTCAAATCGCGATTTTATGACGATTTCGATTAATCGCACAGCCCTAGTTTGTAACGACATGAGGGTGAGTAAACGATGACAGATTTTTAGTTTTTGGGTGAACTGTCTCTTTAAGAAAACTCTTATTTCAAATGTAAAGGCAAGCGGATGTATTAATTTTCATTTTCCCATGTGTTCTCTCGAAGGGCCCCGGTAACATTTCATTTAATCTTCACTTTAAGTGTTGATCGTCTCTTGTATCTGCTGAGATTGCCAGACACTTTACAGGTTCTCACTTAAAGTTCAGAGTCAGGACCGATCGATCATACGCACACATAAGCATATTGCACATTTTCCTGCCTGCCATCTTGCTCTAGATGACGTAAAGTGAGATTTTTATTAAACTTATACCTCCATACTGTAATCAGGCCTTTTGATATATCTTGTCCTTGTAATGACACGTAGATTACAGTCTCTCTTCCCATCATCCTAAACAGTTTCTCACACACATCTCATCTGTTCGGACCCCCACAGTGTTTCCGTCGCTGCGTAGCTGTTTGACATCACGTTTGCTTCTCTCTCTCTCTCTCTCCCTCGACTCTACCCGTAACAAGATAATTAGTGATTTATGGTCGCCTTGCTTTGTTTGCTCGATTTTGACGCTTCGGGCTGAGGGAGTTGAGCTTTTTTGGCAGCATTCTGAGTTTGTAATTAATTATCTTTTGACGTTTTTTCTTTGTAAAGAGCCATTACTGTAACGTGCTGAAGTCAGAGCGGAGTGTGTATTTAATGACTGTGTAGGTTTTGCTTTAGACAGCATTTCCTCTTAATTTAAAGCATCTGAAGCTAGAGTATGTGGGTATACAGTGTGTAAATGGAAATGTTCAGAGCTGGTCTGAGCGAGACTGATAGTGGTCAGTTATTGTTGCATTCTCGTTCTGCTTAGTTTTTTAGATCTATCTATCTATCTATCTGTCTGTCTATCTGTCTGTCTGTCCGTCCGTCCGTCCAATTTATTTACCGTCCGTCCATATATCTGTCTATCATCCATCCATCCATCCGTCTGTCTATATATCTATCTATCATCCATCCATCCGTCCATATATCTGTCTATATATCTATCTATCATCCATCCATCCGTCTATATATCTGTCTATCATCCATCCATCCGTCCGTCCGTCCGTCTATATATCTGTCTATCATCCATCCATCCGTCCATCTGTCTATATATCTATCCATCATCCATCCGTCCGTCCGTCCATCTATATATATATCTATCTATCATCCATCCGTCCGTCCGTCCGTCTATATATCTATCTATCGTCCGTCTGTCCGTTCGTCCGTCTATATATCTATCTATCGTCCATCCGTCCATATATCTATCTATCGTCCGTCTATGTATCTATCTATCGTCCGTCCGTCATTAATCATCAGGTATTTTATTTTATTTTATTTTGGGGTACTGGAAAAATATTAGATATTAATTATTCATGCTCATTTTCCCTATTTTTACGTTTAGATCTAATGTTCACTTAAACTAAATCTTTAACAACATATTCAATAACAATTTTAAAGGTGGTCTTTAGCAAATCTCAGAATGAATATCCATCCATCATACTGTACATTAAAATGTTGTGATGCCACTTTTAGCATTTTTAGTTAGTGTATTTTGTTTTATTTACAGTTCAGAATTGTATTATTAGCCATTTATTGTTAATCTGTCTATCAATCCATCTGTAGAGTAGTATAAAGCTGCAATACATTAATAGTGAAATACTTTAACATTGAAAAAAGTGTGACACACTTCACCTTTAAATTCTTGTTTTCTCTTTCTTTCTCTCCTCATTGTTCTTTTGTATTTGAGTTATTTATTATCTTTGGTTTCCAGTCTTAACTAACTGCTATTGGCAGTAGAGTTTCAGTTGATCCCACAGTAGACGGCACAGCATACAAAATCATACAATATGAACGGCAAATACTGAATAGAGTGAAACTGCAGGATAAGATTAATTTCAACTGTTTGAAAATGTAGTTCTGGCAATATTCCACAAGGCAAAATTGATATCAAAATACTGAAGTGTTGACATATGACAAAAATTTATTTAGTTGATTTTGAGCGGGATGTCAGATCAGGCTTTTATTTTTATATATCGTCCAGCCTGGTTCTTCCGTAATGAGCTACGTGAAGAACTCAGTGTTTGTTTATGTGCGTGTGTATGAAGTGTTTATCCTCGGATTGTCTTTTCCCATGTCCCGTGTGTGTGTGTTTGCTTGCGTCAGACAGTGACCTGTCTGCAGTGCCCTGTGTTTGGCGGGCCCATAGTGCAGTGACAGATGCCAGCTGTGTGTCTGAGGAGGAGCTGAACACTGGCCTGCTGTTACTGTCAAATCCAGCCCCGCTCACAACCTTAACCCCACTGACACAGACAGTGAGAACCACACACAATTAGGTATTTGATGCAAATGAGTTAATGTAACTTTGGAGGGCAACATTATTTTAATCATATTTTTGCCTCTGCAGAGGCTTTAGACTATCTATCTATCTATCTATCTATGGTTACACTTTACTTGAAGGGGTGTGCATAAGACTGACATGACACCTTCATAATCATGACATGACGCCTACATAATCATGACATGACACATGTCATGAATATGAAGGTTTTTAATGCATGTTTATGACAACTGTCATTAAGTGTCATTCACTCGGTTATGTAATTTCTAATGCAAAGATGACATTGTTTGAGATGTCTTTGTTATGGGCTATGGTTAGG